GCTCTTGCGCATGCGCCGTTGGCGGGGCCAGCGTGGCAGCTGCTGCCACGGTGGCGGCTGCTGCGGGTAGGCGGCGGCCACTTCCGGGGAAGTTGCCTTCCGGGGGGCGGGGGGCGGGCCCAGTGCAGATGCTGCTGTCACTCTGCGGCCAAGGCCGAGGCCAAGGACGGATGCGCACGCAGCCTTGCTACATTGACACCTGCTGTTTGAGCTACACAAGCAGGCAGGCAGGCCCTAAATGGAAATAACGTGGGCCTGGAGAGCCCCTCTGTGTGGCGAAAGCCACAGGCTCACAGGCCTAGAGCTACAAGTGACCCCAGGGGCAGCTAGTTCAGCCCCCACCCCCTATTTTATGCAAGGGAGGGAGCTGAGGTCCAGGAAGGGGATTATTCTGAAAGTCATATAGCTAGGATTATAGAATTATACAGATGGGGGGACTTCACAGGAAATCTAGTCCAACTGTCCCCCTCAAGTCACACTCAAAGCAAGTGGCAGAGGCAGGCCTCAGGATGCCTTCACTCTTTTGGGGCTCCTCAGATGTACACTGCAAGGCCAGGCCACAGCTAGCCAGACCAGCCAGAACCCATGAGGGGGCCAGTTCATAGAGCCTGACTTACAGGGCACTCACCCTAAGCTAGCCCCTCATCTGCCACTATTTAGCCCTGGATCTGACCATGGCCTAGTCCCTGCTCCTCTCTGAGGCACACTTTCCTCCTCTGTGAAATGGGCATGATTGGCCACTGCCAACCTCAGAAAGCCATGGGAAGAAAAGGCAAAGACCATCTCACATTTGTTTTTTCTATTCCTCAATTCCTGGCATAGTTCCCCATCATATAAATCCTTAATAAACATTCATTCATTGGTGGCTGATCAAGCCCAAAGAGTTCTATGCTGTTATGTCAATAATATATTGTTATTTATTATAATATCACAAAATTATAAAATTAGGAAAGACCTGAGGAGTGTATTCATTTAGCCCAGGGGTTCTTAATCTAGCATACATACATGGAGAGATTTCAGGGAGGTCCGTGAACTTGGATGGGAAAATTTCTCTTTATTTTCATTAACCTCTGTCTTAAATTTAGCATTTTAAAAAATTATTAAAAAACCACAGTTCTGCAAAGGGTTCCATATTCTTTGCGAAATTGTCAAAGAGATATGGGACACCACGAACCCCTGATTTTGTCCAACCTATTCAATCAATTAGGCACGCAGGTGACACTTAAAGACCAAGGAGGAAAATCCAGTACCTACCTCCTGAGGTCGCCCGAACCACTTCTCAAAGGTATGGGAATTTTTTTTTTCCGACCTCACATTTAAATTGGCATCTTGGCACTTTCTAGCCCCTCCCAGTTCTGCCCTCAGGGGCCCAACTGAACAAGGCTAATCCCTCTTCCACGTGACGGATTTTCAGCACCTTGAATTAAGCTCTCCCAACCCCCTCGGCTCTTCTTTTCTCCAGGCTAAACACGCCTAGGTCTCTCCATGGATCCTCATATGGGGTGACCCTCACATGGAATGGACTCAAGGCTCTTCACCAGCCTAGCCATTTATGGTCATGTAGTTGGATAATATTAGTATCCAAATGGCCACTTACATACCCTAAGCCTTACCTACTAAGTTATAGACAAGTCACAATCTGCAGCTGTTGGACAAAATCATGGACCTGCTGTGTGGACACCCTTCCTCCTTACAAGGTAAAGTCGGGAAGTTCACATAACATAGGATAGGGGAAGCAATTTAAAACCCAGCCTGGGCCTGAATGTGCGCTATTATTATTCCTTTCTGACAGATAAGGAAAGCCAAGCCCAGTGTGAAGATGCAAATATATTTTTCCAGCCAAGACAACTTTGTGATTTGGTGGAGGTCAGATTTTGGCCCTGCCTCAGAGGTCTGACCTTTTCCTCCCCTTCTTCCTGGAAGAGTTGGTGCTAATGCATAGAGAAGACAAGCCAACTTGAAAGGTTGTCCCTGAGAATGAAGGATTTCTTTTTTTTTTTTAATGGAAGAAATGTAGAAACAGAAGAATTCTCATATGGTTGGTCCAGTTTGAACTAGAGGATCTCAGTTGTTCCTCTAAGCCTACCTGCCATGGTGTGATTCTGGGATAGTCTAAGGATCCATAGGCATGAGAATTCTGTGGGTTGTCTATGGATGTGCATGTGTATGCATGTACATTATATTCATGCCTGGGAACATATTTATATACATGTATGGGCATGTTCTATGACATTGGACATCTGTGCTTGTGTAGATGTGGTCATGTTCCTGCACATGGTTCTCTGCTTATAGGTGTCTGTGTAAGCTGTGAGAGGCAGTGTGACAGTGGGCAGAGAGCTCTCCTTGGAGAGTCTGGAGGACCTAGCTTCTAGTCATGCCTGGGACTCACCCTGGGCAGGTCACTTGAGCTCTCAGTGCCCCAAGCAACTCTCCAAGACTATAAGTTGCCAAGAAGGTGCCAATTCTGCTTTGGGAGAGGAAGTTTCTTCATCTGGGAGTGCCCTTCACCAATGAAATCCTAAGTCCAGCCTTATATGTCTGGGTGTGTGAATACATACACATATATGAGAAGCAATACTACCTAGTAGAGAGAGAGGAGTCCTCCAAGTCATAAAGACCTGGGTTCAAGACCTGTTTCTAACATATCTTGACTGTGGGACCCTGGAAAATCACTTCTCAGGGTTCCATCTAAGCCTGTCAGCTGCATGAGGGAAGGGAGGTCCTGGCTAAGAGCTCAAAAATCACAGAGCTAGTCCAAAAAAACAAATTGGCTTATGGCAAAGGGAAGGAAAGAAGCATTCGGTAAGTGGCTACAATGTGCCAGGCACTGTGCTAAGTGCTTTACAAATTTTCTCATTTGATCTTGTAGCCCTATTTTACAGTTGAGGAAACTGAGGCAAACAGAAGTGAAATGACTTGCCCAGGGTCATGCAGGTTGTAAACCTCTGAGGCTGGATTTGAACTCAGGTCTTCCTGACTACAGGCCCAGGACTCTATCCATTGTGCCACTTAACTGACAGTATGAAAATCACAGATCCAGTCTAATGTCCATCAATCCACAAGCATTTATTAAGCAGGTACTATGTTCCAGGCACTGTGGTAGGCCCCCAAACCTTCCCCCCTTTCTAACTTTTTAACTTCCCCATTGCTGAAAAAACATTGCCATCTTTCCAGTTGCCCAGGCTTATAGTCTTCTCAAACAAGATACTCCAATTCCCAAGTCTTTGCATTTTCATTGGAATTCATTATTCCTTCCTGGCTTTCCTAGCTCCCTTATAGTTTCAGCTAAAATCTCCTCTTCTGCTGGAAACCTTTTCTTATCTCCCAGGATGCTGGTGCCTTTCTTCTGAGATTATCTCCAATTTCTCCCATATAGATTTTATTTACAGTCAATAAACATTTATTATGTGTAAAGCATTGTGCTAAACTATAGGTTTACAAAGAAAGGCAAAAATAGTTCCTGCCCTCAAGTAACATACAATTTAGTGCAGGGAGAGGACAAGCAAACAACTATTTACAAATAAGAAACATACATGTAAATTGGAGATAATCTCCGAGAGAAAGCCCTAGCATTAACTGGGGAATCCAGAGAGACTTCTTGCAGAATGTAGGATTTTTTTTTTGAAGTAATGGGGGTTAAGTGACTTGCTCAGGGTCACATAGCTAGTAAGTGTCTGAGACCAGATGCTGCCCCACACCTTTTTTGAGGCAAACAGGGTTAAGCAGAAGGTAGGTTTTTAGGGGAGACTTGAAAGAATCCAGAGAAGGCAGGAAGTGGAGATGAGTATTCCAGACATTGGAGAAAGCCAGTGAAAACACTCCAGAGTCCAGAGATGGAGTATCTTGTTTGAGAAACAGCAAAAAGACCAGTGTCACTGGATCTTAGATTATGGAGAGGAGAGTAAAGTATAAGAAAATTGGAAAGATAGGAAGGGGCTGGATTATAAAAGTCTGCAAAACCCAAACAGAAGATTTTCTATTTGATCCTGAAGACAATGAGGAGTCACTGGAGTTTTTTTTTTTTTAAATAGGGAAGTGATAGGTGAGACCTGTACTTTAGGATGATCACTCAGATGGCTGAATAGGATAGATTTGAATGGGGAGAGGCTAGAGGCAGGGAAGTCAACCAGAAGTCTATTGAAATATTCCAAGCATGAGGTGATAAAGGACTGCACCAGGCTGGTGGCAATGTCAGAGAAGGGATGGGGTGTAGGAAAGATGTTGTGAAGTAAGAATCAACAGAACTTGTAAACTGATTGGGTATGGGGGCGTTGAGAGAGAGTGGCGTCAAGGATGATACCCAGGTTGTGAGCCTGGGTGACTGAGGATGGTGGTATCCTCAACAGCAATAGGGAAGTTCAGATGAGGGGAGCTTTTGGAGTGAAAGGTGAGTTCTGTTTTAGATGTGTTGCATTTATGATGTCTATGAGACAACTGGTTGGAAATGTCCAATAGGTAGCTTGTGAAATGGTACAGAAATTCAGAAGAGAGAGCTAGTGCTAGGTGTTATTTGCATGGAGATGATAAATTATATATAAATATATATGCACATATATATGACTGGATCTATGATATCTATAATGAGATAATACATAAAATGAGATCATATTTGTAAAGCATTTTGTAAAACTTAAAGCCCTATATAAATGCTGCAATTATATGTATATTTATGTATGTGTATATAGATATATGCTATGTCTCCATCTGTGTGTATATATATACATGTCTTTATGAGTATATATAATTTAACATTGTGTCTCACACTTAGATGTATTTGTGTTCTATTAATCTACTAGACTGTAGGCTCCATGAAGACAGGGACTGAATCTTAGTTAAACTATGTATCTCCCCTAGTGCCCAGTTGTTTGTCATTGCTGTCATATCTGTGCCTGTGTTCATGACTCCATATGAAACTATAGCTCTTCCTGCATGTTGGCTTGGCCATCCAATTCTGTGAGTGTGTGTCAATCAGTCAATAAGAATTTATCCTTTTTCCCCAGGTGTCACTGGTTGTCAATGTGGCCAGCGAGTGTGGCTATACAGACCAGCACTACCGAGCTCTTCAGCAGCTGCAGCGAGACCTGGGCCCACACCATTTCAATGTGTTGGCCTTTCCTTGCAACCAGTTTGGCCAGCAGGAGCCAGACACCAACAAGGAGATTGAGAACTTTGCCCGGAAGACCTATGGAGTCTCCTTCCCTATGTTCAGCAAGATCGCTGTCCGTGGTACTGGGGCCAATGCTGCCTTCAAATATCTAATTGGTGAGCTGCATCCCCTAAGGAACTCAGGGCCAGTCTAGGCATCCTATAAAACAGTGTCTCAGGTTTCTCTGGTCCCTTAGGATTGACACATCTTATTCAAAGTAATCTAAGGAGCATTTGTAAAATAGCTACTATGTCCAGCCTCTACCACACACTGGCTCTGTAACTCTGGGCAAGTCACTTACCCTCAGGGCCTTGGGCAACTTTCTAAGACAAGTACTTAATAAATACTTGATGAATTGAATTGGGTTTGCTTATCTGTAAACATCCAGCATCCCTTCCATAGAATGTAAGCTTCTGGAGGGCAAGGATTGTTTATTTTCCTTTTTGTCTTTGTATCCCCCGTGCCTGCTTAAGTAAGATTCATTGAAGACCCAGGCCCTCCCTTTCATCTAGATTCACACACACCTTCCAACATTCCAATGTGGTATAGTACAAATAATTTATTATTGTTGTTGTTTAATCAATTTGTTGTTGTTCAATCAATTTCAGTCATGACCACTGTTTGTGACCCCATTTGGAGTTTTCTTGGCAAAGATATTGGAGTGGTTGGCCATTTCCTTCTCCAGCTCATTTTACAGATGAAGCTAAGGCAAACAGGGTTAAGCGACTTGCCCAGGGCCACACAGCTATTAAGTGTCCGAGGCCGGATTTAAACTCGTGAAAATGAGTCTTTCTGACTCCAGGCTCAGTGTCACCTAGCTGCTCCAGTACAAAGAGTACTGGAGTTGAACTCAGGAGACCTGAGTTCAAATCCCTAGTTGTGTGACTCTGGACAAATCCTTTCATGGTAATACTTGAACCATCCACCTCAAACGCTTGTAGTGAGGAAAGCACATTATAAATCATGAACAACTCAGAAATAGGAGCCTGTAACTTTCTTTCTTCCTCTACCTCTCGCCAGCCAAAAATAAAGGGGAAAAATCCAAATCATACATTTGGAAGGAACCTCAGAAGCATATAGTCCAACTGGTATCTGACTTGGAATCTTCTCTAAAACATCCCTTGCATATGGTTACCCTCATTATCAAGACAATGCTCTCAGGAAAGGATCAGAAAGATACACTGAGGAGTCAATGACTGAGAACAGAATGGTTTATAGTATTCTTTCTCTCAGGACATGGAGTGCTTTTTCACAGGTTCAGAACTAGAGGGATGAGTGCTAATGGTAAAATTTCAGGAGAAGAGGAAATTGGAGTAAGAGAGTAGAAGGTCTGGTCTATGGAACCTAGAAACATCTTTCCCCACCACCTCCCTACAATGGGAGATGAAGACCTACCTGAGTTTATCATCTTCCTTCTCATCTTCCTTTTTATCCAGAATCCTCCGGGGAAGAGCCAACTTGGAATTTCTGGAAGTACCTAGTAGCCCCGAATGGAAAAGTGGTGGGAGCCTGGGACTCAACTGTGTCAGTGGAGGAGATTCGACCCAAGATCCATGAGCTTGTGGGGAAACTCATCCTGGGGAAGAAGGATGAATTATAATCACTCCTGACTTTCTCCTTGACTTCACAATGTCAAATGTGAATACTAAATGTGAATGCCAAATTTTTTCCCACAGGTGCCTTGCAGGGAGAGATTCCTCCTTCCTTGCTTTTTAAACCCAGGGAGAAAAACTTAGGCTTTCAGTGATATATTTTCTACTTTTAATCTAGACAGAACCAATAAGAACTTGAGACCAATAAGAACTCAGTAGCTTGTAAGAATTTGTGGCTAATATCTCAGAATCTCTTCCAAGTTACAACTTGGGACCAATAAACACTCAGCAGCCTATAAGAACTATGGCCAATAAGAACTCTGGCCAATAAGAACTCAGCAGCCAATAAGAACTTGAGATCAATGAGAGCCTAAAAGAATTCAAGAGCCAATAAGAATTCTTCATCAGCCTATAAGAAGTTGTGGCTACCAAGATTTCAGTAACTAGTAAGAACTTGGAGACAATAAGGATTCAGCAGCCTCTAAGAACTTCTGGTCAGTCAGAGGTCAAGAGGTAATGAGTACCTGGAGCCAATAGGATTCCTCATCAGCCTGTGAAAACTTGTAGCTATTAAGTTCTGAGTAACCAATAAGAACCTGTGATCAATAAAAACTCATCAGTCTATAAGAACTTGTGGCTACTAAGATCTCATGAAACAATGAGAACTTGTGGCCTTATCAACCTATGAGAACTTGTAGCTAATAAGATCCCAGTAACCAGTAAAACTTGTGCCCCATAAGAAGTCCTCATGCCTATAAGAACTTGCTATTAAGGTCTCAGTAACTAATAAAAACTCAGACCAATAAGGACTCAGCAACAAGAGATAATAAGATCTCAGTAGCCAATAATAACTCATGGGCAATAAGGAACTTATAAACCAAAAAGAACCCTTTATATAGCCAATAAGAACTCTTTGACCAATCAAACCTCTCTAGCCAATAAGAACCATAGTCAATGGAAACTCACAATCAAAAAGAACTAACCAACTAGTCAGAATTCTCTGTCAATAAGAAGGAACCAACCAACTTCAAAATGCCTATGTGAGCAGAGCTGGGAGTAAGTGCCAGAGAGAGTGGGGAAGAGAGGATGGGAGATCTTAGTGCCTGTGGGAGGAGGAGGGAGAGAGAAAAGGAGGGGGTGAAGAACCCCAGTAAATACCAAGCCCCAGGATGATTCCCACTACTAAGAAGACCAAACTGGAGCTAAGGAAGCCTGGTGCTAGTCCCAATTATGGGCAGGTACAAACTTCCCTCTGTGATCTTCTATAGGTTGCTTCCTTCCTCTGAACTTCATTTTCCCCACCTGTAAAATAGGGCCCAGTTGCACTAGATGGTCTCTGATGTTCCTTCTACTCCTAACTTCCCAAAGATTCTTGACAGTCCCCCCTTATCATGTTCCACCATAGAGCCATTGTGGCTACAAAGCAACCTCCTCCCAGGACCTTGCTCCCCTTACAGGAGGGCCCCAGAAGTAGAGGAAGGAGTTTGCCACATTTGGAGTCCAATTCAGGACACCCCCCCATCATTCACAGTGTGTTATTGGGTGGGGGAGAGAACCCTGACAACCATGCAGCTCAAGCCCCTCAGAATCTCCTCAGAATTTCTGGGCTGGAAGGACCCTCAGAGACCATCAGAACCTGAATAAGTCACTACCATTGATGTGGCTGCTGGAGGTTTTCAATATGCTTTACCTATGCAATCTCATTGGATTTAGTCCACCCTATACCTGACCAGGAATCCCTTCTCTAACTTCCCTGACAAGTAGGATTTTACAGAGGAGGAAACGAGCCCAGAGAGGAAAAGTGCCTTGACCAAGGTCACACAGCAAATCAGGCCGAGCCAGAATTAGACCCCAGATCTTCTGTTTCCCTCTTCGGGGCAGTGACCTAACCCTGCTCACCTTTCACCAACTCAGTTCATGAAGAGGTGAGCTGATTCATTAGCATGGTTAGCAGCTATTCTTGCCTTTTTAGAGGGGGATGAGCAGGAAGAAACTGGGGGCTGTAGGGGGAAAGAGGTTTGGGCCAGGTCACACAGTGAGTCAGGAGGACAGAGAGGTCTATCAATGCCTAGCATCTTTCATGATAATCTCTAACACCGCCCTCCCTAATCCCTTAACAATAAATTAAGCGCTACCTGTCCGTAGCCATGGCCACCCTGACGTGCCTGGAGCAGAGGACCCACCTGCCTGCCTGACTGTGGGGCCCAGCTCCTTCTTGGTGCTGATTTTATCCTCAGTGATGACTCACTCCATGTATGCAAACACATCCATTTTGATAATAAAGGTATATGGAAAACAAAACCAGCCAACGGTTCTTGAGTCCTGAGAAATACAACAGAGCAAGGCCGACCGTAAAACCCAGCTTGTCAGAGTGATGGGCACCTTGGCACACGGGGTGAAAAAAGGGTAACTATTAGGGACTTGCAGACACAAGCACGTCATATGGCATCACTTAAAATGACCTTAGCCTGTAGGATTTTAGAACAGAGAATATTACAGCTGCAAGCCTTAGAACATAGAATATCAGAACACAACATGTTAGCATTGGGAGTGACCTTAGAATGTAAAAGTTAGAACACAGAATATTAGAACTGTAAATTACCTTAGGACATTAGAACATAAGCTGTTAGAATACAAAACATTAGAACTGGAAATAACCTTAGAATATAAAATGTTAGAAATAGAACATTAGTGTTGTAAATGACCTTAGGACCTGGAATATTAGAATATAAGGTGTTAGAATATAAAATGTTAGGACTAGGGGTAACTTTAGAATATGGAACGTTAGAGGATATTAGCATTAGAAGCAACTTCAGAACTTGTAACATTAGAACACAGGACGTTAGAACTGGAGATAACCTTAGAATATATTGAGTATTAGAATGTAGAGTGTTAGAGCTGTAATAAGGGCTTAGAACTTGGAACATGAAAACATAAGATGTTATACCGTAAATTATTAGAGCTGTGGATGACTCTAAAATATTAGACTTGGAAGGCCTTAGAGCATAAATCTTAGCATATAAGATTTGATAGCTGGGAGGGACCTTAGAAAGACTTAAAATACAGAGTGTTAGAACTGGAGACCATATCGTCCAATCCTGTCATTTTATAGCAGAGAAAACCAAGGCTTATCGAAGTGAAGTGATTTCCATAGAACATAATTGGCAGATTTGGAAGTAGAACCCAGGTCTACAGGCCATGTTCTTTCCACCACGTCATGTTTCTCTGTCTTTCTTTTTCCTCTTCCAGTAAATAAATGTCCTTTGACACGAATGACCCTGGGAACTAGGTTGGCCTGAGACAAAAAGGTGTTGTTTGTCTGTGAAGTCCCACATTTTCTTTCTGCTTGCCCTTTTTCTCTCTCTCCTTTCAGCTGCTGTTTCCCATCCATACCTTCCCCCATCTCCACCATTTGGCTTTCCCCACCAGATGCCCTCCTGAAACTCCTTCCTCCTTACAGTTAAAGGTTTTCCCGTGGTCACTTTCCCAGAAATGTGTTTCCTTTAAATGAACAGTAAAGAGGCATCATGAGATTTTTACTCCCAATTTCTTGTGTGGCCTGAGGCAAGTTGCTTTCCCTCCCTGGGTCTCAGTTTCCTCTTCTATTAAATGAGAGGGTTGTTACTTGTAGTGGGATGGTTTAATTAAAATTAATTAAACATAAAAAAAAATGAGGTTAGCCAGATGATTGCTAAAGTTCCATCCAGGTCTGACATACTGTGAAATCTCCAATAATTTTTGTGGCATCTGAGTGGAGCCTGAGTGGGAAACACATCTTTTTGTGGAGTGGGGAACATCTTGGCACCACTGAAATCTCAGCGGTCCTTCCCTGAAGGGTTGCATTCCACTGTACCAGAGGGCAGTCAGGGCTGCTGCCAAAGCCCTTGTGACTGAGGCAAGGGAACTTGCAGTTACTATCTTCCTGGGGGCAAAGTGAAGTATCTCCAGGGACCATGAAGTGACCCTTGCTATGGCACAGAGAAAGGCCTGCAGGAACCTCTCACTATCTCCAGGAGGCCTTGCCTGTGCTTTAGAGGTCTTCTCTTGGGTTTTTGGTATGTGATGGTGTCGGGCAGGACAGATTTGGGGATGTTGCTCAAACCAGTAGGATGCTGGTGTAGAACAGTATGGAGGAAGCCAAACCACCTGGGAAAAACTTCAAGCAGACTCCCATCTGATCACATATCCCTCCCAGAACCAACACTAGAAGTCCCATGCACATCACCAAGGGGTATGAAGCCACCTGGGAATTAGACAATCTGCAGATACACCCCCAAAACACCCGAATCTCCAGATCCATCACACACTGGAGGCAGGTTAGTTAATTCTGCATGTCTTTTGGCCTATAAAGCCTCCAGATGGACCACATCTAGCCTCTACCTCCAGTGGGCTGGGGGCCCAATTCACTACCTGAGAGACAAATCCCAAGCCCACCATATCTCCAAGCCCTCGGCTTCTCTCTTCCCAAGGCCCAGTTCATCTAGCCATCCCCCTACGTCCTTTGGAACCCATGGTCAGTGCTCAACAGGCTTTCCTTCCTCTCTCCCCTGGCTTTAATGAAGAACACTGACATCCTTTATTCCTCCCTGTTCCTCATCTCTAATATCCAATCAGTTGCTCATTCTTCCTCTACAGCATCTCTCAAATCTGCTCCCCTTCTCTCCAGTCACACAATCATCAACCTCGTTACGGACTATTGCAGTAAGGTCCTAACTGATCCTCCTGCCTCTCCTCTAGCCTCTTTCCAATCCGTCCTCCATATAGCAGTCAGTGATTTCCCTAAAACACAAGTACACCCTTGTCATTCTTCAAGAGACTTCGTTGGCTCCTCATTGCCTTTAGGATAAAGTACAAATCACCCTTTTTAGTGTAACGCTGGATTGCTCCACCCCACTTCCTTCCCTTTCTGAAGCTCAGCTATGTTACATTTTACCCCTTCTTCAGGGTTCTCCATTAAGGGCCCTCTGCAAATGGCCCCTGCCAATGGTATTTTCCCAAGTGTAGGGGGTAGTTCCCCATACTCCAGTTCCATTTAACCACTAACAGATTAACTTTTACAGAGGAATATTTACTTGAAAAATTATAATCACAAATATGTGAATTTATTTTCTGACGTGTGGGACTTAACCCTCCTCTTCCTTTTCACCACTCCAGTCTCTGGGGAGAAGAAAGGGATTCAGCTCAGCTTAGCTCAGTTCCTATAGAGCACATAGTCCTAAATTCCAAATCTAAACCCACCTCAGGCTTGAGTCCAAGGCCTCCTGGCTTCTCCAGGCTTCCCTGCAGGGCTGACTGACTGCAACATCCCTCCTGGGGTCCTGGCTCCAAGGTCACTATGACTTGAACTCCCAGGTCCAGGAGGTACCTGAAAATGGCACCAGCTGGCACTGGAAAATGAGGACAAATGACCCAGTACAGAGACCCAAGGCAGAGCTGGGGTAAAAAGAAGGGGATATACCCCCCATTCTGGTTCAGTTCATGGCTTCCATGTTGTGGGTAAACAGTGATCTTCATCCTCTGGAAATAGCAGGAAAGAGAAAGGCTAGCACCATCCGGTCAGTTTTAAAGACATAGCCTGTTCTAACACCCTCGTGGTAGGAAAAGGCAGAATGCAAGGTGCTTCCATTTTAGAAGATACCATGCTTCAGAGCTCCATTATGTTAGCATTTGAAACTCTTTATATTCTGTCTCTTTTCTTTTCAGACATTTTGAAAAGACACATAAAAAGGATTGAGCCAAGGGCAGGTAATGGGAAAGAAGGGGGTCAGAAGTGTTAAAAGCTCAGGATAAACTGAGACCAAGAAATGCTAAGGACAAAATATAGGACCTTTTAAAGCTATATTGAGAGTGAGAGGAAGATCCAAAAAAGGAGAGGATGGCTACTTGGGATGGGTGGGAAAATCAATCAACAAGCATTTACTAAGTACCTACTGTGTGCTAGTCACTATGCTAAGGGCTAGGGGTACAAAGACCAAAATGAAATAGTCCTTGCTCTCAAGGAAGTTCTGATCATTGTGGATAATAAAAAGAAGGCAAAACTACTCAACTCTGTTTTCCCTTCTGTTTTCTCTACCAAATAAAATGATCTTGGGACTGAAAAGAACAGAATGACAAAGGCCAATAAGGATGTCTAAGCCAATCTAATGAGGCAAGTAGTTAGAGAACATCTAGCTGCTTTCAGTGAGTTGGAGTCATCAGGACTGGACAAACTATTTCTCAGGATATAGAAAGAATTGGCAGACATGGTTTCTAGCCTCTGTTGATGATCTTTTGAAGTCATGAAGAATGGGCCAGATGTGTCAGGACTGGGCACACGTAAATGTCCTGGTTTTTTAAAAGGGGAAGTGGGTGAAATTTCATGGAAATAAGGACAGGTGAGCTGGTCCTATTCCAGGTACAATCCCAGCCATTTTAGGTGGTCTGGATATGCACCAAATCCCTATTAGGTGACCAAAGCCCAACATAAAGTTTTCACTTGACTGGTCTGTGGAGAACACATAACAATAACTAGCATTTACATAATGCTTTAAGGTCTGCAAAGTGCTCTGCATGTATTATCTCATGCAATCCTCACAACAACCCTGGGAGGTAGGAGTTATTATTATTCCCATTTTACAGATGAGAAAACTGAGACAGAGGTTAAGTGACTTGCCTAGGGTCACACAGCTAGTAAGGGTTTGAAGTGGGATTTGAATTCAGGTCTTCTTGACTCGAGAAGTCCAGCACTATACCACACATAGGCTGTGGGTTGGACAAGGCCTGTTTGTACTACCCCCAAGAAACCAGGGGCTGGAATTTTTTCTAGGCTTCCATGAAGATTGTCAAAAAGATGGTGGTGTGTCTTGGAGTCCTCTGTTCCCAGGGCACCAGTCCTGGAGCTTAGCCACAAGGACTAGATGGGCCAAGTACCATTCAAACAACCAGGAAAGAGCCCTGGATTTGGAGTCAGAAGATCTGAGTTAGAATCCCAGCCCTACCACATACTACATGCCCTGGGCCTCAGTTCCCTCATCTATAAAATAAGGGGCTAGACTAGATCATAGGGTCATAAATTTAGAGCTGGAAAAAACTTCCAAAGTTATCTACCTTAAAAGGTAGATGAACTGACTTGTTCATGGTCACACACACACATATAGAATCAAAGTCACTGGCCAACCTAGATAGCCCGAAGGTATCTCTACTCTAACATACCCAACAAGTAGCCTCTGCTTGAAGAATTTCAGGGAGGGAGAAGCTACTCCCTCCTTAGATAGCTGATTCCACTTCTAGACAGTTTTTATTTTCAGAAGTTCTCTCTGACA